TCCTTCCACTTTTAGTTTTGTTTTCCTAAGCTCCAAGTGGTTCCTTACTGCCAAGAGTTCAGATTCTTCTCTTCTGTTTGTCATCCTTCAAAGCTCCAGGTTGTATCCATTCTGTCCTCCCCCAGAGACGTTCTCTTCTTCCCCAATTGGCTCCATCTTCATCCTCCTGATGGAATCATCTTCTGTGGTCATTGACATTGGCAGTGCCTGGTGCAAAGCTGGCTTGGCTGGGAAAAACTACCCTACTCTTTCAATCCCCACAGTTGTTGGGTATCAGCCCTACAGTGAGGACCTGAGAGAAAGTGCTCCCAAGATAAAGAAAATCGCAGGCTTGGAAAACATGCATGTGCTCAAGGAACTGCCTATTACAGAATTTCCTGTTAACCGAGGCCAAATCCTAAATTGGGAGGCCATGGAGGCTATTTGGCACCATACTTTTGATTGCCTCCAGGTCGATACCAAGGACCACTCAGTGCTTGTCACAGAATTGCCATGGAAAGATAGGGATTACCAGCAGAAGATTCTGGAGGTAAGAGTTTGTTGTAAACACTACCTTTTGGCAATGAAAAACATTTGAGAAAACCATATTCCACATCCCTTGCCCCTCCCTTTGAGAGGAAGTAGGTATGTTCCCTTGTCATAGTTTTGGGTCTGAGATTGTTCCTTTGAAATCCTCAGAGTCTAAGGCCCTTTCTAGTGTCATCATTTCTGTTATTCAGCAAACATGTCCAGCACTGTGGATACCACCATAGAGACAACCAGGTCCTGCCCTCAAGGAGCTTACAATGTAAAGGGAAAAAAGACCTGTACACGAATGGCTATGATACAAGGAAGAATAAGGAATACAAAGGCAGGTCTGGAGAAAGGGCCATAAGGGAATTGAGGGTGAAAGTACTCGTGAGGGAAGGAAGGGAGAAGGAGAGGAAGATGTCCCAGCAAAGATTCTTGGGAGAGAGCGAATGGTATAGGTTTGGGCATTGGAGGAAGGGAGGGATGATATAGGATGCCATCTTGGGTGATGGAAAGGATCACTTTCCTTCTCTGGCTTTGCCTTCTCCTCTGAACAATGAGTAAATTAGACTAATTGAGCTCTTCCCCGCCCCTTGTCTTCACTTTTTCTGGTTCCTTGAATACAAGAAATGTCTGGGATTTTGTCAGTGTAGGAACTTTCTCCATCTCCAACGTGGATCCCAACTCATTTATAACTTAGGTTGGAACCTCTGGGTGCCTTTAACCTATTCCCTAGAAGTTAAGTGACTTGCCTAAGGTTAGGCAGTTAGCCAGTATTTTAGGCAGAGGACATTGATTCCCATCTATGATCTGTGACTTGTAAGCTGTGTGACCTGGGAAAAGTTAGTTGGCTTTTCTGCCTTTCAATTTCCTTATCCATAAATAAGGGGGTTAGGTTAGATGACCTCTAATGTGTCCCCCCACTTCTAAACCTTAATTCTATGATCCTATAGCAATCATGGTAAGGAGAGTGCTTTGAAAGCAACAAGCCTGTGAGATAGATTGGGCTAGGGTTTAATTCCCATTTTAGAGATGAAGAAACTCTATCCCACATGTCAAAGTTAGTAAGTGGTATAGCTTGAAATTGGATATAAATTCTCTCAGTCCAGTCCAGGTCTCTTTAATTCAATTCAACAAGCATGAATTAAAGACCTACTATATGCCAGGCACTATGCTATGTGATAGAGACATAGTAACAGACCTTGGTTTCTGCCTTTGAAGAGCTTACATCATCCTGGGATAGAAACAATAAACATGCATACACATACATGTATATGTATGTATATATATATATATGTATGTATATATATGTGTGTGTGTGTGTGTGTGTGTGTGTGTGTGTGTGTATGTATGTATAGAAAAAGTGAAAATATACACAGAATGATTGCAAGTATTTTTTTTTTTTTGCTTTTTGGTGAGGCTTTTTGGTGTGCCCAGGGTCACACAGCTAGTAAGTGTCATGTGTCTGAGGTCAGATTTGAACTCGGGGCCTCCTGACTCCAGGGCTGGTGCTCTATCCACTGCACCACTCAGCTGGCCCTACAAGTAATTTCTTGATAGGGAGTAGGGGGAGAGCAGGGCTGGAGCAAGGGCTGAGAGGTAGAAGGATGGGCAATGGTCTCTTATTAAGGGGAATCACTTGAGCTGAACCTGTTCCTAGAGGTGAAAGGAGAAGAGGACCCAGGCTTGGGGAGAGAAGACAGCCCTTGTGTTGCAAGGACGCAGGAGATGGAATGAAAACCACGAACAGGGAACATTAAATGGGTCACTGTGGCTAGAACACAGAGTAAGGGGTGGGAAGGGTGTATCATGAAATCATTCTAGGAAGATGGGTTGGAGCCACTCAACGTGTAATTTCCCCCCTCCGCTCAAATCATCCTTGGTGGCATCTTGCCTTTTGGTACTTTTGGCAGGGGACTGAGCCCTTAGACCCTATTCTATGGCATAGACTCTAGTGATATACTCAGCCCTTCCTGGAAAAACCCATGGTATTTTTTTTCTTCTTCTACCTCCCTTTCCTATTCTCTTCCCTAGGTCATGATGGAGACCTTCAGTGTTCGATCTCTTCACTTTGGCAACCAGGCAGAACTTGCTTTGTTTGGCTCTGGCCTCTTGACTGGTATAGTATTAGACTGTGGGGCTGGCCTCACCTCCATTGCACCCATCTTAGAAGGCCACATTATCCCTAAGTGCATGATAGTACATGAGATTGGTGGGCTAGATATCAGCGCCATATTATATAAACAACTGTTCTATAGGGATATGAGACTGAATGACTTGCTGCAGAGGGAGGCAATGGAAAGCCTTAAAGAGAAGTTATGTTATGTGAGCAAAATCCATGATCAGAAGGAACTTCCTCGTAACTTTGCCTCTATGCAAGGGAGAGTGTCTGTCCTTCCTGATGGAACAGTTGTCTGTCTTACTGAAAAACACTGTACCTTTCCCGATATCTTCTTCAATCCCTCCCAGTTTGGTGTGCCTGGAGTAAAATTAGGCCTTGAGGTTCTCAAATCAGCCATGTCATGTCCTAACAAGAGCAAAGAGTACATATTTTCTCGTGTGGTTCTCTCAGGGGGCAGCACCCTCTTTCCTGGCTTTCCAGAACGCCTTCTCTGGGAATTAAATACCATGAAACCTTTGATGTACTCAACTGAGGTTGTGTCCAGGCCAAATCGGATCTACCTCCCTTGGGTTGGGGGTGCCATATTGTCTCGCTTGTCAACCTTCAGTTCCCGCTGCATAACCAGAAATGCATACTATGAGGCACAAGGGAACGTACTCTTGTAGAAAATTTTTCTTCCAAGATTTTCCCAAAAGGGATAGATTAATGCATATTGACTGCCTGAGGGTGGAAGAGACTTGTTCTTGTGGAAAGCATCTTCTTATAGGATTATATAACTTTACTTTTTTCTAGAGTTCTACTTCTGAAGTTTACTTTTTAATTTTCATTCCTCACTCTAGCTGTGGCCTGGAATTTTGGCTCCCAATGAGGCCCAAATTAGGCATTTTAGAGGAGCTCTTTCTCAGGAGATTTTTGGGGAAGCAGGATTGAAATCCAACATAGTTGTGAAATCTTCAAGGTTTGTTCTCCAACAATTCACATCGTCTCTGGAAAGTTCACTTTGGATTGCTATGTAGGGGGCAGGGTAAAAGAATGCTCATTTCCTCAACTTGCAGAGATACTTGTTTTCAGAGTAGGGGAAGGGGGAGATACTTCTTGTCCCCAGCCAAGATGGGTCTACTGCATTTTTTTTTTGTAACCAAAAGAGTATAGAGAGAAAACAAATATTTTTATCACCTGGAAGATAAAATTGGAGAATTTGGTTCTTTCTGAGGGGGGAATTAATTTTGGTGACTGTATCTTCCCTCATCCTCTTTTTTTTTTCTTGAATCCTCTCAGGGAATAGACTTGTTAGTACTTGGCCCTTTTCAGGTAAAACTAGCCCTTTTTAGATGCTTTTCAGTTCCTTAGCCTGACAAACTGTGGTTGACCTGAGCAGGAAGAGGAGGGCACATTTTCTCAGTATGTTCTTTCTCTGTCCGTGTGTGTGCGTGCGCGCGTGTGTGTGTGTGTGTGTGTGTGTGCGTGCGTGCACGTGCGCGCGTGTGTGTGTGTGTGTGTGTGCGTGCGTGCACGTGCGCGTGTGTGTGTGTGTGCGTGTGCTGGGGAGGAACATCGCTACATCTATAGCCAAGGGGTTACAGTGTATGTCTCTCATTGCTTAGGGGGATCCTAAGAGTTCTTAAGCCCATCCCTTGTGCTGTGGGACTGGCAGTGACATGCACACAACCCTTGCCTAGCCCTTAAGGGCTCACATCTAGGTGAAATTTCAGATGAAGGAGAAGAGATAGCAGACCATCAGGTATGAGAGTCCAAGAATCCTGGATTCTCCTCTAGGGATGGGGGCCAAAAGGGCAATCCCTTCCCTCTTCCAACTTATCCATGAGCTTGGGAGCAATCCTGCTGTCTCCTCCAGAGACATCTGGGAGACTGCTTAGTACTAGGCAGCACACTTTACACAGGAGGCTGACTCACTGCAGGCTGGACCCAGAGGAGGGCAACCTGGAGAACACTAGTAACTGTCACTTGTATGATGCATCAAAGTTTTGAAAGAAACCACTTTGATTGCTTGCTCATTTAAGTTCCCCATCAGCATTGTGAGGAAGATACTGCAAGTCTTATCATATTCTTATAAATGGGGAAATAGATTCTAGGAAGCATTCCATCATGTTAATAATATGGTGGGCAGCCCTCAGTACATCTACACATCCTGTGATTTTATGGCTAGCCAAGGTTCCTTATTCATGCCTGGAGAACTAGGATTATTTCCTCACATCTGATCCCCTGTGTCTCTAATTCTAGGCTTTATTAGTTTCCTGGAATTCCCAGCTCACCAATGGAGTGTATGAATGAATGAATGAAGAATCCATTAAGTGTTTGCTATGTGCAATGTGCTGTGGCAAGTGTTAGAGATATAATAGAGGGATTCGACTTTTTTACTGGTCTTATAACAGGAAAGCTCCTTTACAGTTAATTTTGTCCTACAGTAGAAATGCCTTCTTTATTGCTGGGTGTCTTTCGATAGGTTACAGGAAAAATCAGTAAAAGTATTAGAAGTTGTTCCTGATTGCTTAGATGTTTCTGTTTGTCACTCTTCATAGCTCCAGATCACACTCATTCTACCTGCCCCTAAAGACGCCCTCCTCTTCCCTCATTGGCAGCACGTTCATTCTCCTGATGGAACAGTCTTGTCTGGTTGTGGACATTGGCAGTGCCTATTGCAAAGCTGGATGGGCTGGGGGAAACTATCCCCTAGTAAGAGTCCCCTCAGTTGTGGGACACTTACCCTCCCCACAAAACCCAAACCCAAGACCAGGACCAAGCCTTATTCGGACGAGAGTACTAGTAGGCTCCAACAAATTGCCAATTATTAAGGAACTGCCTACGGAATTTATCATCAACCGGGGTACCATCACCAACTGGGATGCCATGGAGTTTGTGTGGCGCCATATCTTTACGGAGCTTAACAATACCCCTAAAGACCATCCTCTGCTGGTAACAGGACTCCTACTGAATGACGAGCATTGTCGGCAGAAGATCACAGAGGTAAGACAATGTCCTCCTCACATGATTCTCCCCTTTTTCCTTTTTTTCCTCACATTACTGCTTTATGTGGTTGCTTTAGCCCTCTAGCTTAAAAAAATGGCATCCTCCCAGTGCTATGACTAGGATCCTAGTCAGAAATGACCTTTAGAAGAAAGCATCATGGGGATTCTTTCCTCTGTCATCTACCCAGAGACAACTGCCCTTGGGATGCTGTGTGCAGGGTCCAAGAAAGCAAAGTCATTGAGTGAAGAGATGAGGACCCAGGAGAAAGACATTTGAGTGGAGAGAAGGAACTGAGGGTTTTAGGCAGGGAGCAGGAATAAGTCAGTTCAGCAAACTTTTGCTGTGTTTTGTTTTGAACTTTTTTCCTTAAAAACGAGAAGCATTTAAATAAAACCAATTGAACCATTAACAATGCCTGACAGTGTATATGATATCATATTCTACATCTCTAGTCCCTCATCCTGTCTAACTGAGAAGGAGGTATGGTTCCCTTATTATGACCCTGGGTCTGTGGTGGTGCCTTTGAGGTCATCAGAGTCCAATGACCTTCCCATTGTCATCATTTCCATTATTCAGCAAACATGAGAATTCTGCCTCTGTTCAGCTCTGTAGAGGGTAGAGACTGAAAACGTTAGAAAATTTTAGGACCTGACTAAGGTACCTATTAGTTCTTCATAGTTGCCTTCAAATAACGTACTCATATCTGGTATGATATGGTAGGGCAGAAAAATACTGTGTTTGGAGTCTGAGGAACTAGGTTCTAATCTCTCACCTGTCACTTTATACCTAGGTGACCTTAGACAAGTTAACCTTCTTGAGCTTCAATGCCCTCATTTATAGTATGAGGGGACTGGACTAAATGGAATCTTAAATGCCTCTTAATTCAGAATGTATGATTCTAGGATCCTATAGCACATTTAAGTGATTTGGTCCATTAACAAACATTTATGAAGTATTTGCCATATGCCAGACAGTGTGCTCAGGGTTGAGGATACAAAGAAAGGAGGGAAAAGCTGTCCCCACTTTCAAGGAGCATACATTCTACTGGGGAATAGTATGTCAGTTATCTGGCTACATATAAGAGTTATGCAGATTATGTTAAGGTAGCTGAAAGAAGAAGACATTGGCAGTTGGGAAGACCAGCCTCTTGCACAAAGTGGCATTGGGGCTATTTTGAAGGAGACTGGAGCAGCTAGGAGTTAAAACTGAGGAAGGAGAGCATTCCAGCCTTGGAGGACAGCCAGAGTAGATGTGTTGACTCAGAAGATGGGGCCTTGTGTGTGAGAACAAGGCCAGTGTTATTGGATTACAGAGTTTACAGAGGGAAATAAAGTGTAATGCTGGAAAGGTAGGAAGAAGTTAGTTTGTGAAGGGCTTCAAATGCCAAACAGTGGATTTGATATTTGATCTGGGAGGTAACAGGGAGCCGCTAGCATTTACTGAATAGTGGAGTGATGTGGTAGGACTTAATTGTTCTAGCACCTGAGTGGTGGGTGGACTAGAGTGGGGAGAGATTTGAGGCAGTGAAAGCAATCAGAAGGCCATTGACATAGTCCAGACATGAGGAAATGAAAATCTGCTCTAGGATAGTGGCCAGAGCAGAGAGAAGGGGGCATATACAAGTGAGCCTGTAAGCATAGAAATGGCAAGATTTGGCAACAGAATACATAATGGAGGCGGTGGGGAGGAGTTGAGGATAGAGACATAGAGGTTGTAAGTCCAGCGGATTGGAATGTTACTCAAAATATCCAAGAGGCAACCGGTGATGCAAGACTGGAGCTCAGAAGAGAGGTTAAGACTGGATATATAGAACTGGAAATTATCTCCACAGAGATGATAATGAAAGAGGAGATCACCAAGAGATATAGTATGGAGTTAAAAGAAGAGAAAAGGGAAGAGAAGGGCTCAGGAAAGAACACTGTCAAAAAGCCTATTGAGGTCTGAGTATATAGTAGGAGACAGTATCAACAGTGTCAAAGGTAGTATAGAGGCTAAAGAGGATCAGAATGAAGAAAATTCCATTACATTTGGCATTTAAGAGATAATTTTTAACTTGGAAAGAGTCATTTCAGTTGAATGATAAGCCAGACTGCAGAAGGTTCAGAAGAGATGGAAATAGAAGTATCACTTGCATATAATATTCTCAGGGATTTCAGCCATGAAGGGAAAGTTCAGAAATGTAGGAATATAACTGTGGGGGTGGTAGGGTCAGGTGAGGTTTTTTTTTTTTTAAGGATAGGGAGAGATGAGCATATTTCTAGGCATCTGGGAAGGAACTGATAGGGAGAGAATGGAAGTAAAAGAGTGGTGAGTGGATTGTGGGGACAATTGGTGGAATAAAATGAGGAGATGTGATTGAAGATGCACAGAGAGGTATTGGCTTGGAAATGTGAAGGGTCACTGCTTCAAGGAGAAAAGGGTCGAAGGAGGGGACGATGGGTAATGACATCTGAACGATATGAGATAGAAGGGAGAGAAAAGGGAGCTCTTGGCAAATCATCTCCATTTTTTTCAGTGGGGCATGAGTTAACATCCTTGGCTAAGAAGGTGGGAGACTGGAATAAAGACAAGGTTTTGAACAGCTGCTATGGAGAATGAGACAGTGAATCAATTGGGGAGTGATAAAATATTTACCTTGATAGAGTGAGGGCTTATTTGAAATTAGATAATTTTATTGTCGGCATAGTCAATGTGATGTTGTGACTTCCTCCTGCCCTGTTCAACAGCATATGAGTAGGAGCTAAGGTGAGGAAAGTGCTTTGCAAACAACATGCCTTTGAGCCAGGCTGGGCTAGTGTTATCCACATTCTAAAGATGAAGGAGCTGAGGCTGAGAGAAGGCAAACAACCTGTCCCAAGTGACACAGTAAATAAGCACTGCCTCAGATGCGAATATAGGTTTTCTTGACTCCCAGGCCAGTGTTCTTCAGTAAAATAAGCATGGATTAAGCACCTACTGTGTGCCAGGCACTGTGCTAGGTGACGGGGACATAACAACAGAAGGTTGTCAGAAGGTCCCTACCTTTAAGAAGCTTACATTCTCCTGGGTTGGAAACAATACATACATAGAAACAAGTAAATATGTACAGAATGATTAACATAATTTCTTGGTAAGGAGTGGGAGTAGCAGGGCTGGAGCAAGGGCTGAGAACTAGAAGGATGGGCAATGGTCTCTTGTTAAGGGGTAATACTTGAGGTGAGTGTCCAAGCAAGCTCCAAGCATTCCTAGAGGAGAGAGGAGAAGAGGACCCAGGTTTGTGTGGTGGGGGTGGGGAGAGCCTGTGTGATGCAAGAAGGCAGGAGATGGAATGAAAGCCATGTACAGGGAACATTAAATAGGCCACTTTGGCCAGAACTCAGAGTGAGTGAGGGGGGGAGGGGGAAGGGTGTATCATGAAATCCTTCTAGAAAGATGGGGTGGAGACACTCAACAGGTAATTCCCCACCTCCCACAAGTCATCAGCCCTTGGACTCTAGCACAGTCTCTAGTAATATATCCAGTCCTTTCTGGAAAGATCCATGATATTTTTTCTCTCTCCCACCTCCCTATTGTCTTCTAGGTCATGATGGAGACCTTCAATGTTCCTTCTTTGCACATTGGCAACCAGGCAGAACTTGCTTTGTTTGGCTCTGGTCTCTTGACTGGTATGGTATTAGACTGTGGGGCTGGCCTCACCCACATTGCACCCATCTTTGGAGGCCAAATGATCTCCAATGGCACACTGGTTTATAACCTTGGTGGGATAGATATCAGCTCATTATTATATAAGTCTCTGATCAACAGAGATGCAGACTTGAATCACTTCATCATGAGGGAAGCCATGGAGGACCTCAAAGAGAAGATATGTTATGTGAGCAAAAACCCTGATCAAAGGAATCTTCTAGTGATGTGACCTCTATGCAAGAGAGAATTTCTGTGCTTCCTGATGGGACCATTGTCTCTCTTACTGAAAAACATCTTACTTACCCTGATGTCCTCTTCAATCCTTCCCAATTTGGCTTGCCAGGAGAAGAATTAAGTGATAAAGTTATTAGATCAGCCTTATCATGTGGTTGGGATTTCAAATCCATACTTTCTCATGTGGTTCTTTCTGGGGGCAGTACCCTCTTTGATGGCTTCGCAGAGCGTCTTTTCTGTGAATTGCGTAGAACTAGACGTGGCTTTTGGCCAAGTGATGTGATATCCCTTCCAAATCGGATTGACCTCCCCTGGATAGGGGGCTCCATGTTGTCTTGCCTGTCAACCTTTAAGTCCTGCTGCATAACCAGAGAAAAATATGGTGAGGCAGGGGCAGCTGCACTCCAATAGGGTACTTCTTCACCAAGATTTTCACAAGAAAGACCATTTGAGATATAATGACTGCTTGGGTATAGACAACACTTGGTTCCTGAGGAAGCATCATCTTCTAGGGTTATAGCTTTTGGCTCTTGGATTAGCTCAAGGGTTCTATCCCTGGGGTTTTCTTTTTAATACCCCCCTCCCCCCCTCACTGGCTCTGGTTATGGCCTGAAATTTTGGCTGATAATGGGGCTTGATTTAGAAATTCGGGAAGAGATGTTTCTTAGGTGTTGGTTGGGAAAGCTGGATCAAAATCCAACAGTTGTGAGATTTCAAAATTTAGTCCACGTCTTATCTGGAAAAATCATTTTGAAGTGCTATGAAGAGGTTAGGGCAGGAGAGATCCCATCCCTCACCCTAAATGGATGCTTTCTTGGGGAGAGGGCAAATCTTATCTCCTCCCAAAATGAGGCTGCCTACAGTTTTTGGTAAGGATATAAGGGTGGAGAGAGAATGACCTTCCCATTACTTGGAAGATTCAGGGTGGTTGGGCTTTCTCTAGAAAGCCTCATCCCTTTCCTGAAATTCGGTGAGTTGGTCCATCTCCCTTCATCCTCCACCTCTTTTCTTGAATCCCATCAGAGAACAGACATGTAAGTATTTAAGACTAAACCAGCCCTTTTCACATGCTTTTCAGTGCCTTAACTTTCCAGACTGTAGTCTGGGGGGCAACAGAGAGAGTGTTCTGGGATGGGGTGTGTGTGTGTGTGTGTGTGTGTGTGTGTGTGTGTGTGTGTGTGTGTGTGTGTGTAGGGGGGGTTACAGTGTATGTCTCTCATTGCTTAGGGGGATCCTGACGGTTCTTAAGTCCTTGTGCTGTGGGACTGGCAGTGTCAAGCAAACAACCCTTGCCTAGCCCTCAAGGGGGAATTAATCCAGTTTTGAAATGCCTTCTTTTAACTGTATATGGAAACCCAATAAAAGTGGAAACATTTTGATGGTGGCTCAAGTGGTGATGGGATATGGAACAGGCACAAAATCTTACCTGGAAGAAGGGGTGGTCTATGATGGTAGGAGGGGTAGGGAGGGATACCAGCCTGGTGAAATTTCAGATGAAGAAGAAGAAAAAGCAGACCGTCAGGTCTGAGAGTCCAAGAATCCTGGATTCTCCTCTAGGGATGGGGGCCAAAAGGGCAATTCCTTCCCTCCAACTTATCCATGAGCTCAGGAGCAATCCTGTTGTCTCCCCAGAGACATCTGGGAGACTGCTTAGTACTGGGCAGCACACTTTACACAGGAGGCTGACTCACTTCAGACTGGACCCAGAGGAGGGCAACCTGGAGAACACTAGTAACTGTCACTTGTGTGATGCATCAAAGTCTTGAAAGAAACCACTTTGCTTGATCATTTGAGCTTCTCGTTAACTTTGCAAGGGAGGTACCGTAAGTGGTCTTAACATCTCTTTATAAATGGGGAAACTGAGATTCTAGTCATTTACCACTAGTGCCACAGCATGAGTATTGAGACTAGATTTGAACCCAGGCATTTGGGGGCCATATAATACAAACATTTGTTGTTGGAACTGGGAATGTTTAGTCTAGGGAAGGAAAGGCTTAGGGAGGGACACAATTAATTCATAGTTTCCAGTATACTCAGCTAGAAGAAACAAATGTATAAATTGTTTGACTTCCTCTTAATATAACGAATATATTTCTGACCCCTGGAGTTGTCTTGTAAGGGAAAGAACTTCATCAGGACTGGGGAAATTCCTCTCTATCAGGTGAAAGCTGCTCAGATTGAGATGAATGAGCATTCTTCACAGAGAAAACTGGAGCTGGCAACATCTAAGTGGTCATCTGGTAAAACTTCTACCTGAGCAAAAACCCCTTAGGACATTCAGTGGGATTTGGAGAAGTTCACGAGGAGAATAGGTTGGGGGTATTTTATCAGGTTTCCTCAGTTCCCTTTCTCCCATTCCTCCACTTCCTGAGCCTAGTTTCCTATACTCAGGGTCAGAGAGTAAATATCTGCATCTAAGAAGCATTCCATCATGGTATGATATAGTGGGCAGCTCTCAGTACATCTGAACATCCTATGATTTTATGGCCAGCCAAGGCTCCTCACTCATGCCTAGAGAAATAGAATTATTTCCTCACATCTGATTCCCCTGTGTCTCTAATTCTAGGCTTTCTTAGTTCCCTGGAACTCAGCTCAGCAATGGAATGAATGAATGAAGCATCCACTAAGAGTTTGCTACATGCAATGCACTGTGGCAAGTGTTAGAGATACAAATAGAACAGTAAGGTCGATCCTGCTCTCCAGAAAGAGCTGGCTAGAGAAGGGGGAAGGCTTAGGAAGAGACATAATTGGTTTGACAGGTCCTCATATGGAAGAGGGATTAGGCTTATTTTGGGGTTCTGGGTCTTGAACTAGAAGAATTGAGCGTACAAACAGCTTGATTTTTTTTACTTGTTATAAAAAAAAATCTTCCTGACCCCTGGATCCAGGGATGTGTTGATAAATGATTAACATCTGACTCTCAGAAAAAACAATGTATGCACCATATATGTTTATGTTTAATCTACATTATTAAAATTTTTCTTTTACTTTCTTAAGCCTAGCTAGTCAACACAACAAAAAAAAATCAAGCCCTCATTTGAAGTATTTGCTGGTTTCCGCAGTATAAATGCTCACAATGAAAATTTAAACATCAGCTCTTAGGTAGGAATGAGTTGGCTCCAGCACATCTCTGCCAGAATTGGTTGCTAGCAACAAGAACTTCATCGATGGAGAATGCAACTAGGTGTCACAGTCAATAAAGACTAGGCCTTGAGTTGACCTGAGTTCAAATCCAGACTCTGACATTTACTAGCTGTGTGATCCAGGACAAATCAATTAGCCTCAGTTTGCCTCAGTTTCTTTAATTGTGAAGGGGGAATAATAATAGCATCTACTTTCCAGAGTTGTGAGGATAAAATGATATATTGCAAAGTACTTAGCACAGTGCCTGGCACATAGTTGTTGTTGTCGTTGTTGTTATTATTATTATTGTCATTGCTGTTATGTTATTATTATCATTATTAGAGTATATATCAACTAGCTGGTCTCTAGGTTGAATTTGAGCTTAAGCTAATGAGTGTGATTTGAGAAAGCTGGGATGGACAAATCTTTGTCCCAAGAATTAGGAAACAAAGAAGGTAACTATTGAACCACCTTTCTCTGTGGCCAGAGCCAAATGACATTCCTCCCAGGGACTTAGCTTTCTCATAAACATACAAATTCTAGTTGCCAGGTTTAATCGGGTTGTCTCAGTGGTTGGAATCTGATGCTAAATATAAAGAAATGAGAGAAAGCAGAAACCGTTTATTGGGATGTGCCAAGCAGGTTGAAGTTCTATATTTGAGGACCTTCTAGATGTACTCCGTTCCTGAGATGAATCTGTGTACTTTAGATGCCATATGTAGAAGATGATGAGCTTTTATGGATGATCATTGATACAAATCACTTCCCACCTAGCCCAATGGTCTTGAAGCTTGCCTTTCTTCTTCCTCATGCCTATGTGACACCATAATCTTAGAGGAAGTTATTATCTGGAGCTGGCTTGCTAGGTGACTACAGGCATTCCCTCACCTTTAAAAAGGGGGCTGCCACTTTAGGTACGACTGCTCAGTAGGCTGGTAACATGGGAACTCATCTAGCCAAGTTGGTTATTCTCTAAAAGAGATGCATAGGATATCACTGGGGGGAGGTTATTTAGAGCCTCTGATTGAACCCACCACTTATTCTAGAGTAGGAAGTGGGCCCAGAGAGGGTAAGATATGTCCAAGCTTACATGGATGGAAGTAGTAAAGCCAGAATTCCATTCTAAGTATACTGACTCTCAAGCACAGTGTTCTATCCCAGCAGGCTTCATGTGAAATTGCTAAAGGTATCCTTGGATGGATTAGGGAAAGATCTTCCCTCTCCATTCCATTTCCAATTCTGATGTTTTCCTAAATTCCAAGTGGTACCTATTTGCTGAGGGTTCAGGTTTGTCTCTTCTGTTTGTTATTCTTCAAAGCTCCAGGTCGTATCCACTGTTCCTGCTCCCACAGATACCCTCCTCTTCTCTCATTGCCTCCATTTTATTTTCCTGATGGAAGGAGTTTCCGTAGTCTTTGACATTGGCAGTGACTGGTGTAGAAGTGGTCCAGGAGGAAGAAACAACCCAACATTAGCAGTTCCTGAAGTCATCGGGTACCAGGCCTACCCAGAGAACCCAGGACCAAGTAATCCCAAGAAAAGGAAAATTGTAGGTTTTAGTAACCTGCACATACTCAAGCAGATACCTACTGAGTTTCCTATCCAACGAGGCCAAATCACAAACTGGGATGCCATAGAGGCTGTTTTGAAATATAGCTACGATCGCCTTGGGATCACGACTGAGAACCATCCTGTGCTGCTGACGGATTTCTATCAAATCCTGTGAAAGACCGGGAGAAGTTGGTGGAGGTAAGATGGTATCTTCCTTGTATGATTCACCTTTCCCCTTGTTTTTTGCATTGCTGAGGGTTGCTGCTTTAGCCCTATAGCTAAAAATTTATTTTCCTATGCTGTGCATAGGCCCCTAGTCAGAAATGACCTTAGGAAACACACGGTATGGGGCTTCTTTCCTCTGCCATCTTAAGACGCCCAGAGGCAGCTGCCCTTGGGATGCTGGGAGCAGGGGCCAAGAAAGTAAGGTCATTGAGTGAGGAGAAGATGAACCAGAATGGAAAAGATGACGCTGACTATTGAGTGGATAGAAGAGGCTTGAGGGTTTCTGGTGGAGAGCAGAAACAAATTAATTCAACAAACATGTTTTGTTGTCTCTTGTTTTTCTACTAATCATTTCCCTTTCATTCCAGCCACCTCTCTGAACACTTCCTCTTTTTTTTAAATTTTTTTTTCCATATGCTTTTGAGTTGAAAATTTTTCTCCCTTTTTCTCCCCCTCACCCTCCCCAAGATGACACACAAGCTGACATAGGCTTTACATTTACATACCCATTAAACATATTTTCACATTAGCAAAGTTGTAAGTAAAAATTAAAACCAATAGGAGGAACCATCAGAAAGATGAAACAAAACTCAACAGAAGGTAAAATAAGTGGTAGCTATTCGACTTCCATAGTTCTTTCTTTGGACGTGGACAGCATTTTCCATCCTGAGGCCTCTGGAGATGTCTTAGATCCTTGTAATGCTGAGAAGGGTTCAATTTAACATTCTTAGTCATTGCATAATGTGGATGCTATTGTGCACAAAGTCCTCTTGGTTCCGCTCACTTCACTCAGCATCAGACCATATAAGTCTTCCCAGGTTTTTCTGAAGTCAGCCTGTTCATCATTTCTTATAGCACAATAGTATTCCATTACATTCATATACCACAACTTGCTCAGCCATTCCCCAATTGATGGGCATCCTCTCAATTTCCAATTCTTTGCCACCACAAAAAGAGCTGCTATGTATATTTTTGTACATGTGGGTCCTTTTCCCATTTGTTTGATCTCTTTGGGATATAGCCCTAGAAGTGCTATTGCTGGGTCAAAGGGTATGCACATTTTTGTAGCCCTTTGGGCATAGTTCCAAATTTGAACACTTCCTCTTAACAATGAAAAACATTTAAACCAGTGGACGCAGTGACAGTGTCTGGTGGCATATACATATTCAGCCTCCTTGAGTGGAGGCAGGTTTGTTCCCTTATTATGGCTTTGGGTCTGAACT